CTGCCTGGTCTTTCAGTCGGGACAGCAGGTGCTCGTGCATCTACTGCATCCTTCATAAAGGATCCTGATGGCTAATTACTCATTAATGAATTGTTGCAGTTTGTATTTTGAAGTTTTTCTCTATTTTCAACTTCCAGCCCACGATCCTCCTCTAGCTCAATGGGACAGCTGTTACCTAGGATCTTTTGTTTCTGCTCTGTGTGCTCAAGATTTCTTTCAGTCTTCTCTTTGATGAGCTAAATCGGTTGAGCTTGTCAGTCTGTTCTCTGGATCTTAAATTATTCTGTATGTATCCTTTCCATTTTTAAGTGTGATGTCAAAATGGGATACATCATTCTAGTAATATTTTTAATATTTTACTACTCTGTTGTTCCCACTGATTGTACATCCAAGATAACTTGGATAAAAAAAAATAAAAAATGGGGCCTATGTTTTTTTTTCCTCTTCAAGATAAAGTCAGATAGACTTGATTATGAGTGACATTAGCAACAGTGTCATCCATCTAGAAACAGATTTTGAAATCGTGTCATCCAGTACACCTGATGAAACAGGTGCTCCTGTGGACATGATGCATCTGTTGCGCAGCTTGGATCAGAGAAGGCAAAGAACAGGCGGCCACGGACTGCATCAGAAAGGGTGCTGGGCTAGGCGAATCCCTTCTAACTCAAATCCACAGGGTAACGACTGTTACCTGAAAGTACGGCTGTCCCGGGACTGGAAGCCTTAAATAGCACAGGACCTTAGCAAGACCAGTCACACTTGCTCAATGTCTCCTCCTTAATGGTTGTGAGATCAGCCCACGAGGTGGTGGTGGTAATCCACAGGGCACCACGCTGCGTGTAGCTGCACTGAACTGGGAGAGGAGCCTTGGAAACACCCACATACGCTTCTCAGCAATTCCCTCATCCAAGAAATAACTAACTTCTGAGCTCTAGGAGAGCAGTGGTTGTGAAGCTTAGGCAGCTGTCTAGATTAGACACTCACATTTTAAGGGCAGAAATGTGGTTTTCTTCTAAAAAAACCCTGATACAGTAAAAATAAATAATGATTTCGTTACGGTTCCAGTCCCTGCTACCTCCATTGTGCTGTGGCATGAACAGACTCTGATCAATGATACTGTAGTGGCAGGGTCAGTAGAAAGACTGGTACTGCTGAATAGCTCTCCACATTTTCACGCTAAGTATAATGTTGTGTCTCAAACAATAAGAAGCAAACGATGCTAGGCTGTTTAACACCGAGTATATTTAAGCATTTCCAGCATCTCTGTAGATTTCCTGGGTGATTGAGGGGTTCATAGAAGTTACTTCTGTGCTGTGGCCCTCCCAAATCTGATGGAATAATCTGGCTACTAAATGATATTTACGACTCTTTTCTAAGACATGTATTGAAGAAAGTTAAATTTAAATAAGTTATGAACTTGTTTAAATGGTGTATAGTACTTAAGCTGCATTAATTCAAAGCGCAGATTGACAGCCCTGTAGTAACACAATTCCTGTAAAACTCATCAACTTGATGTCTTCTAGGTGCGTAATCTCACTTACATGGTGACCCGAAGGGAGAAAATCAAGAGATCAGTTTGCAAAGTTCAAGAACAGATATTTAATATCTACGCGAAGCAGTTGGAACAAGAAAAAGTTTCAGGTATGCTTCAGCGTTATCTTTTTCACTTAAGACCAAGCATCGAAAGGTTTGGTTACAGGCTAATGACTAATCTTGAAGGACAAGCAGGACCTCATTTATTCTCATTAAAATCTTGTGTAGCCCACCATGCTTCAGCAGGTTGGAAGAAGACGTGAGAATCTGTGTAGCTGTAATGGTGGGCACATTGCTATAGAAACGGGCAAGTCTCTGTTCTTACCGGTGGGGTACTGAAGGGCTTGCTGCTTCAGCTCCTTTCTGGTGTGAGTCTTTAATGGCTCCTCATGACAGGGAGACCTTGACTTATATTCAAGTGCCATATGGTACCCAGTTGGTCGGTGGTTTAGCAGTGCCGCTGCATTAGTGTCTACTACGCACTTCTTTGCATTGTAGTTTGAAGAAATGAATTTTGAAAAGGTAGCACTCTGGTTTTAAAACACGTTTTCTTCTGCCTAATCTCATTGACAGTAGCCTTTTCTCATATGAGTAACTTCAAAGTTACTGCATTAACTAGATTATCCTTGAAGTATTCAGTAACTAATACACCGGTTTTTTAGACGGAAACAATTGGATCCACTTGCTGGTTGCTTCCCCCCTCGCCCCCCCGCCCCGTCTCTGATGAGTCTCGCTCTGGAGTGGATAGAGTAGTGCTAGAATCTGTATTTGCTACAAGTGTCATTTGGCGCAGCACGGCTACGGGGAAGTAAACTACACCAGCAGTGTGTTGTGAAACCACAACATAGCCACATAATCGTGACGTAAAGGTGCTGGATAGGTAACCAGATTACCCACTTACACTGAAGAACGTGTCACGTGTGAGGAACAGGGTTAAAATGGGTACATTCAAAAGTGATATTTACCAGACATGGAATTGCTTGACTTTGACTTAATTTGTTTACGTTTAGGCGTGCCTTCCTCATTCTCCTCAATGGAAAACACGGTGTTGTTCAATAGTCCCTCTTTGGGCCCCAATGCCCCCAAGATAGAGGATTTGAAGTGGCATTCTGCATTCTTCAGGAAGCAAATGGGCACATCTCTAACCCACTCTTTGAAAAAATCACACAAGAGAGACAGAGTAAGAAACGGCTCCGGGAATGATGGCAAATCCATGCTGAGGCAGCCGAGCCAAAGGGAAGGTGGCGCAGCTCCAGGCAGCTTTTTAAATTTTGACAAGACCTTTGCAGAAACACGGATTGTATCAGCACAGCAGAAAAATGGCATCGTTATACCAGACCACAGAAAAAGAAGAGACAATCGTCCACAGTGTGAGGTGATCAAGGCAGAACTAAAGGAAAAGACTTCTAAACACAACCACAAACCACTGAGACCCACAGAACTCTCTCAGAGGCAATCGGAAAATAAAAGGGCTGTGAACCACTCCAGCGGTAGGTCAGCACCTGGCACGCGGAGGGATATAGTGCCTAAATGCAATGGGGGTCTTATCAAAGTAAACTCTAATCAGACAGTAGTTAAAGTGCCTACGACGCCCACAAGCCCAGTGAAAAACTGGGGCGGATTCCGAATTCCAAAGAAGGGGGAGAGGCAACAGCAGGGGGAGAGCCCAGAGGAGCCCTGCCGTCAGAACTCCAGCTACCCCTACCTGGGCGTGGGCAGAGTTTCACCGAAGGACAGGGCCAAAAGCAAGCTAAAGCCTGACAGCGAGAATGATGGGTACGTCCCCGATGCCGAAATGAGCGACTCAGAGACTGAAGTGGCTGAAAAAAAGTGCAGGCAGCAGAGGCTCAGTCCAAACAGCACGATCAACAGAAGGACGGACATTATTAGGAGAAGCATCCTGGCATCCTGACTGGACACAGGGACACGGTGTCAGCACCATGGTCAGTAGAGTCACTGCCTACAAGCCAACTCCACGTTATATATTTATTGGTGTGAGAGAGGAGAGGTCTTGGACATGGCTACAGACTGACAAATTGATAACCCATTATTCCTGAGCTGTACAAACATGTTTACATGCACTTAAAGCTGTTTTTTTTTGTGCCCCCCCTCTCCCCCCTGCAATTCTGTGAGAAGTTTTTATCTCCTTTATTTGCAATTTTCCTGAGTAAGCCCAGAAATTGACATCACTACAAAAATAGGATTTGTGATGAACACTAAAATAACTCAGAAAAACCTTTTAGGAGGGGTTAGGATGGGTAGGCTGTGTTCATCCCTTTTAGCTAAAAAGCACTGATAAAATTTTACTCCCTTCCCCTGCCTTCTGGAAAAGCACAAGCTCTTAATTTAACTAGCATGTATTGAATGGAAGAGGGGCGTTGAACCATACTGCACTGCTTTCCCCGGATGGTGGTAGGTCTTTCTCCTCCGTTTGCAGGATGTTTTCTGTTGCATTCAGCTTGCGCATAGACGGCAGCTCAAACCCCTCCGTAAGCTCCAGAGTTTACATGTAAATACACCTACGAGATGACCAGATTGACCCATGACATTTTACTGGAGGAGGAGGAAGGGAGAGGTCAGGGCTGCAGCGCGAAGCAGCAGCTTGAAAAGACTCAGCCTGAGCACAGGGGATGCTCCGGGATAGCTCAGTTCTGAGGAGGGGGCAGGCCAGTGGGTTCCTGCCCCAACCCCTCACCGTTCAGTCGGTCACCTGCCTCTGGGAGGATGATGACAATTCAAGAAAAAAATTTTTGAAGGCACTAGTCAGTAGGATTTCCCAAAGCCCCCCCCCGCATATGCACTAATGGTATGTATTGGGAAAGCCAGGCTTAGGACACTAAAGGGTTGCTTTAAAATGGACATGAATATATATTTTTCAATAGAATAAAATGGAAAGGCAATAAATTGTGATTAGCTCTTCACAGTCAAAAGAAGAAAAAATATTTCACTCTATTCTGGACTAGATTTGATGGAAGAGGAAACTCATATTCTGAGTGTGTACTTTTTTTAATAATTGCAAATGGCAATAACTAGTAAGCTATGAGCAATAATATTAACGGATCATTAGGATACTGTTTTGTACCGAGTAGAGTGCAGATGGAACACTGAAGTGTTAGGAGCCTGCAAAGTTTGGAATTCTGCATAGATGTAAGTCAGGTATGTACTGGTGAAAAACTTCAAGCAGCAACTTTAAGACAGGCATAAAGAAGCCCCTTTTCCCCCCACCCTCTTTCCTATTCCTAGCCTGCTGTTAGCACTTCCACGCACTGTTTAACATTAGACCCTTGCCTCTTGAGCAGGGAACATTTAAAACACAGTAGAACTCTGCCATAACTGAGTCTTCCAGAGGATTCAATAAAAAATAAATAAAAAAGGCTTATTAACACCCTATCTTGCTATGCAAGTTATCACTTAATTAAATATTTCAACAGAATGCGCCCCAGTCATTTAAAACTCAAAAGTCTTAACCTTTTGATAACCACTTGATGTGGAGGAAGGGGAATTCTGTGTAAGACAGTGTACTTTTAAGATACCATTGGTGGTCCCAAGGCGTTAGCTTAACTTCATGACTTACTTACAGAGGTGAGAGTCAAACAGGTGAATCTGAAATGATGTAGTCACTCTTGGGATGTGTTAAAAGAACAGTCGTTAGTCGATCAAACAACAGCAGACAGACAAAAGGTGAATGCAGTTAGGTTCTACTTGACATACAGCAATGTTTTCCAGACAGGCACTGTTATTTTCTGTAGGAAAGAAGCTCATGCCCATATAGGGAATTGTTTGTCAAGCCATAGCTGGAGTAATCTAAATTTTGATTCTAAGTAAACATTTAACCTCACACCACTTTGGAAGAGGTACCTTGTTAATTTGCACTATTATTATGAATGCTAACGTTGTGCAGAATTAATGCCTTACCTGTTTTGCTCCCCTGCATTTAGGTTAATAAGCTTTCTAATGTTTCAAGTTAAGCTGAACCAAAACCAAAAAAGCTGTAAGAAGACTGCAGTATGACCGGCTCTGTAGGTTAGTTTTGTCTCCCGTGCTTAGCGCTCAGCAGAAGAGGTGTCGTAAGTACAGCAGTGACAATACAAACCCACCCCTGTATTTTATTGGGATAGAACCATTTGCCGAATTTCTGTTTTTAAGCATTACCTTTCCTTGTGCAGACTGACCAAGAGAACTTTGATTATGATTGGTGTATGCTGTCAAACAGTAGGCTAGTTGAACTTCTGTAAAGTTGCCTGGAATGCCATTCGTTAGGTTATAAACTCACACAAATCTAAATGAAGGGTTATACGTGTTGTGTATAAATCTTAATTTCAGAAATTTGAGAAAATTGTCATTATGTTTGTAAAACCTTGTACAGAAGATTTTTCACTATGTGCCTAGCTTTGGTGTCCATTCAGCTGAAATTAATTAAAAAAGGTGCATGAAGAGAAAGAGATAGAAATAAAAAGTATATGTAGAGATGACTATTTTATATTACATGGCCCAATCCTGTATTTATTTTCTCCCTTTTTTGAAGTATTTATAAAGACCTAGTTGAAGACAGCTGTATTTTTTGTTAAACTATTCAGTAGAATTGTGCCTTTTTGTCTGTATGTGAATAAATGCTGTACATTTTTGCAGTATCCTTGCCAGCAGCGTTTCAGAATCTGCAGCAGTTGTTATTTTGTTTGGGTTTTTACATAAACACTTCACTGCAATGATCTGAACAACTTTCATGGTTAAAAGCAGCATTTAATTTGGATTATTACAGGTATCAAAGTGCACACGGCGGTTGCAAGAGGAAGATCTTTCTTTTTTTTTGAGGAATAGCATAGGGTCTTGTTAGTGCCAGCTGTGCCTATCCCATCAACGGTATCTTTTTTTCCTTGAGATCTCAGAGGGATGTTGCTTACCTCAACTAGTTTACATTTGTTGATACATGATGTTCTTCCAAGGTCCATATCTTCATACATGTTCCACCCCAAGAGGAACATGGTGTTTCTTCCCTGTAGGTCTCTAAGCTAAGTACGCTGAATGTATGTACACACTACGAACTGCCCATAGTCGAGCAATGCTGACAGAGAACATCTGCTGCTATCGCAGGATCCAGAGGAGACAAGGCATGGAGGGCACAGTTGCTCCTTTCCTCTTGCTTCCTCTAAACTCAAGATGTGGAAACATGGAATGGACTTGGAGCTGAGCAGGAAGAGGACAAGATTGTGAAGACGTAGGTCTAGCACTACATCTTGAAAAAGAGCTATAATTTTTCTCAGCTCTGTAGTTGTATCCCATGCGCTCACACTGTGGGCAACTGTGAGCAGGACCCCTCCTAAAAGTCACTAGTACAAGCTCTTCAAGGCATTAATTAGAGTTTGAAAGAGGTTCTTGAATATGCTTTATCGACCTTGCTGACAGCAGTCTTTCTGAAAGGCATTGCACTGCTGGGGTTAGCTGGATGAGGCTGGGTCAGAGCTGAGGGCAGCTCGCCAAACACTTCAGTGGACTGAGAAAGTTCCATATATGCAGTGATGGATCTTTCAAGATCCAGCCTGCACCCGAAGGTATAGGGCTCTTGGGAAGACCCAAAATGAAGCTTACTACCTTCACAGTCAGTTTCTCTCACCTGCTGAATGGAAGTAACTATTCACCTAGAAACCTCTCCTAAATAAACGTAGTCAAGAACAAAGTTTCACTCAATGGGAAATATTAATATCGCACTAGGGAATCTTTAAAACACTTAGACCCTGGTGTTGGGGTGGGAAAGGAAGGTAGGGGAAACAAAAAAACCCACTCCTCTATGGAAGAGTGATGAGAAATACATAGATGGAAACAAACGTAAAACAACCAAGACAGATGGTTGAAAAGCCTGCTGCTCACTTCCATGAAACAACCTAGGGGGAAAGAGCAACACTTCTCTAACCAGCAAGCCTCAAATTTTAATTGCCTCAGCAAGTGCCTTTCCTCTGAAAGTCCAATTTGTGAGCAGCATGCCAGCAGCCTCTGCTAGAAGCCAAACGGAAATGAAAGGAGGTGGTGGTGTTCAGACAACAAACTTAACTTGACTGCGTTCCCTTTTGTAGTTCTGACAGATGTATTGGGTCAATTTTTAGCTGCTCAGAGGATCAGGCGGACAGATGAAAGCAGGAAATCTTTCTCTTTTCCTGTGTCCTCAGCCATAATTCCTCTGCTGCCCCTTAACTTTACTCTTAGGTGCTTGTGTCGTCATTGCAATTCATATTCTGGCAAATGACCATTACGCAAGAGCAAGCAGGTGCCCTTTGGTGCCTCAAGGAACAAATACACAAATACTGTTGCTCAAGAACTCGCAATTACCTGCCATTTTTCAACCAGCTTTCACTTCACAGCTAGAGCCTCTCTTTAAGGAGTGAATCGGATTAATAGCTCACAAAGAATCTTCCAGGTGGCCTGTCATCATCTCAGATGTGCCTTATGCAAATGAAAATAAGGTGCTTGGTACTGGCCTCCCTCTGTATCCTATACAGAGTTGACTGATGAAACTCACCACAACAGACATTTGGAGCTTCTGGACAATGTATCCACGTTGCTTTGAAAAAAATCTTTGAAGTTTTTTAGCAAAATTAAAGAGATTGCAATGGATACAGGCGTAATTGAACTGAGACAGCACTAGTAAAGAAGTGTGTATGACTGTAGGAAACAGTAACTTCCCCTGTGGTAAGCAGAGAATTTTCTTGAGGTTGCATCCATCTTGCAGGCTGTACTTGAAGAGCCAGGTTTTCAGGAAGTGGTAGGAACCCTTCCTTCCATGTGGTGATCAACCCAGGTCTGTCCACTAAAATGCAAATAATGGTGCAGATCCACTGTGACAGATGTGTGGGTTTGTTAGTCCAAACCAACAGTTTTCATCAGGCACTGGGTAAGCATTATCCATACAACCACATTAAAAGTTATAAACCAGAGTTATACTCTTCACATTTAAGAGGAAGGACAAGGAAGTACGTCACTTAAGTCCAAGATGGGAGCACTTTAAAATTAGTTAGCACCTATCAAGTGTTTATAACATACGCTGAAAATGAGATCAGCTCTAATTTTGGAATTACATATATCAAGTTTTTCAACTATGAAAGAAAAATGTGCACAAGAGGATTCCCACATCCTGGCACCTGCAGAATTCAAACACATGCTTTCAAAACACGTAAAAGCTGGATGACTTCACCAGCTTCAAGCAAGCTGAAGTAACAGAGAACTGAAGTTCCCAGACACATATCAACCAAGAGAGCAGATTAACAGAAAAGCAAGGAACAACTGTAAAATAGCAATTGGGAAGAAGCAGCACAACTGAAGAACGATTACAGTCCTTGGAAACGAGCTGTGTGAATAGCCATAGCAGCATTTTATTTATTACCTCTTCCCCAGGGGCATCAGAACAAGCTGAACCAAATTCTTAAAAGGTAATGGCATTTTGCAGCTACAACGCCTACCATAAAAACAGCAACTATTTGACATTCATGAGGTAATTAGTATCTTACTACAATTCATAAAAGATCTTCAAAATGTTCCCAAGTTACTGCACTACAAAGAAAAATTAAAGGTATCGAGTGTATGCGAGCAAAGCTGTTCATGAATTTCCGTATAAAGTTACCTGTTCCCTGTACACAGTCTTGCATAGTTGGAACTGGTGTATTTTAGACCAAAAAGACCAATATGCCACAGCACTGTATCAGATTGTCTCATCTGCTACATTAAAGGACTTTAATGACATCATTTTGCAGTCTTCTTCCAGTCTTTACTACACATACAGGTACAGTATCTTCATCCACCCCCTTTCTTACCTGAATAAACCAGAAAATGTTTTATCTAAGTTTTACGAGCCTTGCTATGCATTTGACTTTAATGCTCCAATATGAAGTCTCCCCAGCAATCTTCTTAACTCCAACACGGCGTCAATGACCAAAACGTATGTTTAAATATTTTCCAGATCCTTCAGGGAAGCGGCTTTTTTCTTCTGTGTAGTTATCAGGCTGAGCTGTAATTAAAACCAAGCAGATAGTTTCTTACATAATCTTTCGTAAGATCAAAGTATCAGTAGAACTTCGATATGGAAGGTACCATGAAGGAGAGGAACAACATAGGTAAGTGCAAATTGGGGGTAAGCAGTAGAATTCACAACACACTCTCTAGATGATTACTGCTTTTGTCTTATGTCAGATCCCAAAGAATTCAAGATGATGAAAGATGAGGTAGCAGGAGTACACTTTAAAGACATATACATAGAACACACACATTTTAAGCCTGTGCAAACATGTTTCCTACCGAATTACTATTATTTAATAATAAGCTAAGATTCATAGCCATTGAACTAACCACAATAAAAATGTAATTTCTAGACTCCCTAACAGTCCAACTCTAGCCTATATTGGATTTAATTTTACAGGTAAGCTGGATAACGTAATGAGAATACACAGTTAAGTCAGAAAGTAGCCCTTAACCTACAGATGCAGAATAGAGAGAAGAGTTGCTGCTCCGAGTCTGAGGAAGCACACACACAAACGTTCGGTCTTGTGTGAGCTAGAAGAGACAAACACCTTGTTTCTTCAGATTCAGAAGACCGGACATTCTTGTAGCAGTACTCGGAGACTGCTTTTTCCAGCCTTTAGTGGGAACAGTGCTGGTACGTCTTTGGGGTTTTTATTTTGGGGTGGGGGGTGGGGGGGGGTGGGCAGTGAGGAGAGGAAGGGGGTTGGCACAGAAGTTCTTCAGTCACTATAAAGAAGCCATGCCTGACTGCTGGCAGCAGTAACCTCTGCCAAGCCTGAAGAGGGCAAGGCAGTTCTGAAGACTGGCAGTAAGATCGGGACAATTCAGCTGCTAGACATCTTACCAAATCTCTTGGTTGCCTTTCAGAGGGAGACTGGTGAGGAACAGTTAATTATCAGTGTTTTCAGGAACAGCAAGACCTTTTCCTACATGGGCACTGTGGCCAGGAATTTACTCCCTTGAAAGGTGATGGAACCATGTGTTTTAAGGGAAGATTGCACCTCAGAAGTATTAGAGCTGAACAGATCCATGTAACCAACAGGAGGTAAAAAACCCCACCAAAACCCTATCATTCTATACTCTAAAATACACTCTATTATACTCTAAAACCATAGTCTAAAATATCAGAGCAAATCTTCACCAGCTGGGTAGACCTTGTCATGGCCTTGACATGGCCACTTACAGCCAGGAAAGACAGCTTATGTTAGGATAGCTTAGCAGCTATGCCCATTTATTTATTCACTGCTGTTGGGGGGCAAAAAACAGTCTTGATCCTAATCGGACAATTTAGATCAACCAAACATTGCCTCTCTGCAATTCACATGGGATCACCCACATTAAAAAGCTAATTTGCAAATGGGTTTCCTAAATGACTGTAAAAATTAGGAGGCAGAAAGACCACCTTTACTTAACAGGAGACCAACCTGAGAAACAAATTTGCTTTGCAAATAAGCAAACCCAGCGTATAAACCCCCAAGGGGATCTGCTTCAATATGTATACCTTGAATAGTATGGATAAAAAGCAAGCTGGATGGGAAAAATCCACCTACTGTCCAGCAGAGAAAATACAGAACTACGGGTACCACAGGGTTTACACAACTCAAGCCTGAAGTTTCTCTCTTTCTGAAGAAAACCTTTCCTCCCCATATCCCCAATGTCTGGAAATGCTGACTAGCACTGCTCAAAGGTGGAAATGAGTTGTAGGAGAACTGGAAAAAGAAGGCAGCAACAATTCAGCTCATTAACTGATCACAACAGTGCACAAGAAGGTCTTAGGCGTATAAATGGCTCTAATAGGATCACCTTGTCTGAAGTTTTCAGGATTGCTGAAACACCTACAAGGCACGTTTACCGTGGTAACGAGATACATATGCCATCCCTTCCTTCCCCCTTCCCATGGCCTGGGAAAATCCAAGTATTTTCTAGTCTGTACAATTTTCAGTACTTTTGACATTGTAGGATGTACTGTGTCTGTTACACACAACTGCAGAAAACTGCAGTGGGCTGTATTAATCCAGCAGTCTTTGGGGACACAGCTACTGGAGGCCACTAATGAAAATGCAGCTGGGCAGACAAGAAGTGAACAACTCCAGAGTTCCCATGACCTGGCAGAAGGTACTCAGGGTTGCAATGTGATGAACACTGAACAGGTCCGTACTATCAATTCTGTCCTGCAACCACTGCACACCATTTCCCCATGCTCTTTGTGCAGCCCACAATGAATTACACCAGGGAACAAACTTGGCTGAAAAAACCCACCAACAGAATTCCCACAAAAGAGCTCTGCTGCCTAGCAATTTTTATAAAGGCAGCTCTCCAACCATCAACTCAAGACTTGCTGTGTTTTAAATCAGACTCCCCAGGAGACAGGTGTAGGAATCGGCACGACATTTGCTCTTTAGCACGTGAAGCCATCGTTTGTGACTGTTGCTGTAGGTTACACCAAACTAAAAAAGCCTGCTTTATTTAAACAGGAGCTGCAGTTATTTACAAAGGTTTTTTTCCTCTTTGTTAACATGCTGCTGTTTCTGAAGATGGAAATTTTCATACACCTTCATTGACACATTTTGAACCACACAAGTTTAATCTGTATCAAATTTGTTTCCGTTAACAAATCTACTACTGTCACTGAAGCATCCTCTCAGAAGGTGGCATTTTATTGAATACACATCAGTTTTGTGATGACGCATCCAAAATACAAGCTTGATGTTAAAAATGTATTTGTAATAATGCACATAAATGATCACCTCTGCCTCAGGAATGATACAAAGTGAATATTTTTGTAGTGTTCAATGGGGTTTTTTTTTAAAGCACTTAGAAGACATGGGTTTTGTTAGTTTTGTACCTTTTGAGACGCTGTAGCTGCCCTCTGTTCTGCCTGGCTCAGTCGCCTTTGAAGCCTATTGATGTGTTCTCGATATTCCATCATTAATTTTTCATCCTGTGTAAATGAAATATCTCATTACAAATGCAAAGTTCTTTTTGCCAGATCCATACATACTATAGTGAAAAAGCTTAAAACAAGAGAACTTAAGAAGCGGAACTCTTTACCACTTACAATAAGACTGAAGACATACTGCTGACACATTATAGAGAATTTCCAGCTCAAATATGACATCATATGACTTTTCCAATCAGAGTAATCTGCAGAGGAAGTTTTACTCATTTCACCATCTTGAAGTAAGATGCATAAAAGCTGACATTTTAATCCAGGTCATTTAATTTACACAATCTTACAATGTAAATGCGTTAGCTGTACTCAAAGGGAAAAAGAATATACTAGATGAAGATCTTGCTACAGATTTGTTCTCTTCATCAACGGGTACGTATGAAGTCTTTCTTAACCATCCTTTACTTACAGAAATCTATTCTTGCATCAGCCCCATTTTTCTCAGCTAAGTTATATGGCACTATGAAAAACAACACAGAAGGACTTATCCTAGCTAGAATTGGATATCATCCCAGATTTATGAGACCAACAGGATAGCTGTTTTCTAAAGTGGCCATTAATTATTGAACAATGCACATTCCAAAACAACCCTGCCCTTAACCTTTAATGGCTAATGCTTTTATCTATATGTATATATGCACATACAGTGTAGATTCTACTACACCCACAGTATGCTGAGAATTTGATATCTCTGCATATGCTACATTATCCGTAACACAATGCCTACTCCTTTTGAGAGGTCTGCATGCATACATAGGCATAAGTGACTTCAAAAACATTTCCCGAATTGTCTGAAATCGCTAGATTAGTAACCTTGAAAGATGATCTCTCCTTTACCTCTTCTTGTAATTTGAGAGTAAAGTTAATTTGTCTTCCTGCCATTTGAACACGTCAGTCAGTCAGCAAAACAGTGGGGTTTTCTGGCTATGACTACTCCTGTCAAAAATCTAGTTTTTTCTAAACCAGCAACATACCTCATCTACATAGGTTTCTGTTAAGATGCTAGTGTGTGCGCATCAGGTGGTAACTGAAAGTAGTTGTCCTGTCAGTCCTTACCTTACCTCAGTTGCCTTTTCATTTGCCATTTCCAGCTGAGAAATGAGTTCCTGGCTACGAAGTTTTTGTTGACTCAGCTCTCCTCTGTTAATCAGAAGAAAAGATGCTGATTAACACACAGCAGTGCATCAGTTATCGGAATATAATTTCATAGGTACTTGCTTGCATTGCAAGGGCTTATGGTGTATTTTTAAATTACAGTGTTGCTCTTAAAACATCAATTTCAAAAGTGCTACACAGCACTTCTTCATGATGTGTATTCAAAACTGTAATGGCAGAGAAATGAGATATTTGTATCAACAGGATATTGTCAAGAGCATTTGACATTTTACAGGTTTGGTTTTTTTTTTTTTCTGTTTATTGAATCTTGTTTTGCAGGCATGTCATCAAACATGCTATAAATATAAGCTGCATTTGCACACTGCATTCAATGTTTAAATTAACATTCTAATTAGTGTCCCATAGCCAGACTTCAATGTGGACCTCTTTGAAAGTTCTGTGAAGTACCTAAAACCAAATCATTCTATACTTGTGAGACAGACAACAATGTAACACTTCATGAGGAAAAGGAAAATGCCACCTTCTTCAAAGTGGTCTTTTTACTTTTGCATGGAATGAGTTTTAGTGATCCTGAATTTGTATAGTACTGAAGACAAAAAATACCTGCATTATGGTAGACATCTTTGAGTTGTGGCTCAACAGTTCTTGCCTCCTCTCATCACAAGCCACTGACGAGGGAGGACCAAAGATGGAAAAACCTCTGAACTTCGGTAATTTTAGCCAGAGGAAGATGCAAAACTAAATTAGCTGCTCTAACCTTTGACCAGTCTCTACTTCACTAGCAATAGCCGTCAGAAAAAAAGGTGTGACCAAGATTCTTGCCACCTGATTCACTTCTACGTTGAGGTTAAAACATATTTGTGAAGAAGAATTTTCAAATCTATTCTCACTTTATCCTCCTCTCCCACCTTGAAAGTACGCTGAAATGGAATCACCTTCATGAATACGTAGCACACTGACAGTGCTCAGAAAGCTGATACCTAACCTACCCACGCTGTAATGGGAGCTACACTTTTGCTCTTTCTGGGGGAATGGAGGCAAGGTAAGAGATATTTTAACCTCAGATCTCCATCTGAAAAAGCCTCTGCTATTTTAATGATGGCATTTAGTTCTCAACAAGAATTTAATCTTAAAAACTTTTAAACTTAGTATTTCATAAAAGGTTGACTGAAACGTGCGATACAGCACCTGAAACACCAGGCTGCCATATATCTGCTACCATAAGGTTGCGAGGATACCTGGCTGGTAGTTTCCAGGCCCTTGTTCTCAGCCAACGCCCCTTTAACCAATCCCAGGTAGCAATCATAAAAAACAGTTCAACACCTTTCGACTAGCTGCTCTAAAACCGAGAGTACATTTAAACCATGTTCAACAGTTGAAATTGTATATAGATTGTACCTGTGTTACCACACGTGAACATTTTAATATAAAGTAAGGATTAAAGTTGGATTAAAATTGCAGGATCAAGATAGTACGCTAATACTTAACACTATTATTGCAATTTGTCCTCTGTAATCAAGCATCAAGATGAAACATTTTCAATATAGGAGCCCTAATGAACAGCTGTTTTTTGAAAGTTCAGTTTTTATGAACTGTTTCATTAGCAAAATCAAAGTTTTATATAATTCCTGTCGTATCTTTTCAGACATACCTTTTCAAAATAAACTCCCAGGAAAACTATTCAAACACTACTCCTTACAACATGTAGACTGCTTATGTTCAAATTTAGCTAGGCTAGTAAAAAAGGCTTGGAAAATATGGAAATTCTTAAAGTCTGACAGACCATCTTTATTGTTACATCATCTTAGAAGACTATCCAAATAGCTTAATTTTCTAAATTAAAAATTCTTAAGTTACTGAAAATAATCTGTCTCCTATACTTGTACTGAGGTGTGGAATTAGCGTTCTTAGCAGCACAGGCCATAAACAGAGTTTACACTCTCATACACAGCTGTGTGTCAAGAAAGTATTTTTATAATTAGATCACTCTGAATATGCACTTAAAGAAAACATGTAAGCATAAGGGAATGTGATGGCTGTTGAGCTAGACAGTCGATTCATTTTGATTGTTAACCCTCCCCAAACACACATTATGAGATTTTAATATTAAAATTGAGAAGTAACCCCAACTGCTGAATAATGAAATCAGTCCCTACTCCATATTGTCTTTGTTAAGGGAGTAGGAAACAAAAAGGTGAGCTTTTAGCATTTTGGCAGACGGGTGATAAATCCGCCAGCTGTAGCAAGTACGTTCTGCAAAGCTCTCATATGACAAATATAGCATGTGCCAGCTGTTTTTTTGGTTGAATTATACCATAATATGCTTCAGTTACTCTTAGTAATTATGAATTTTGTATACTGCCAGTACCTGCAGCTGTCTCTCATCCTGTTAATTTTTTTCTTTAATGAACATCTTAAAATAAGCAGCTATGGCTGCCAAACATTACAGAAGTGCAGCCAAAAATAATGTTTTAGAAATGGAGGAAACTTCTTCATCTCAAGATGCTGCGCAGTTCACTCAGTGCACTGCACAGGACGTAGGGAGAAGGAGAAGGCAGTCCTGGCCAGCACTTCACACACAGGCACCAAAAAGGTCATTCTGCAGAGGCAGAGTCTCTTCAATTATAGAAAAGAGAAAACTGAGAACTCTAACAAGCACACATGGCTACCGATGAGTCAGGGACTCTTAACTACGAACATGGAAATGTTTCAGAAGCAGAAACTGGAACAAAGACACCCAAAATAGCTGCAATCAGATGACTTAAGCTAAGCAAAGTATTTCAATTTAAAAACAATATGGCAAGGATTCCCTTTTTGTAAGTACTGACAATTATAATTCAAGTGAATATTAAAAAAAAACAAAGCCACTTGGTATAGTTGTTCAAATATAATGGGTTTATGTTACAACAAAGATTTTTGATTTTTTTTCCCCCCAAAAAGGTATATCTTACTACAAGACAGCAGTGGCAGATGGTTAAGATTATTTACTAATTTGTTTATACTCTGTGTTAGTATTAAATTCCACTACTTCTTTTATTAGATAACGAGTTAAGGGTTTTAAAGCTCCAATGCACCATTACATGGAAGTAACTTCTAAAGTACTTACCCTCTTTATCATTTAAGCCAACGTTTATAAATTGTCTCAGGTACTGTTTGTTTCGTAAATCCAGTCTGTATTTCTAAAAAGAGAACGGACTTGTGTATACCTATTACTACCCCTACTCAGGCTAAACTGTACCTTAACTGAGCAATCATCCACATATCTAACAGGCCAAAGTAAAACTCATAGCAAAGTTGAGAGAACTGTCAATTCCCTGTAAAGTTTTCAAGTTACAAGATCTTCCTTTTTCCCATCTGCAGTTTTCAAGATGTACTCCACTGAAGGGCATTCTGTGGCTAATTCAGTCATTTGATTGTGACGCTTCACTTATCAGTGTGAATCTTGTTCCGATTCCTGGTCCAGAATCCGGTTCAACAAAAATACGCTCTTGGTGTTGGCCGCTGCTGAGGAGTCTGGTAAGGGTTTAGATATAACCACTGGTATCTGCCAAATTCTTTCTCAGTTTACCCCAATTCTTTTCTTCATTCTCAGGACTAGAACATAAAAATCTATGAAAAATGCTGATATGCCAGTTAGAAGGGATTAACCATCTATTACTGCTTATATTACGACCTCTTTTTTATTTATTTGTTTAACTTAGTTAATAAGTACAGACCAGTCAAGGTGGACTTTACAGAATGAATGAATAATCTGCCCTTGTATTTTAAACTTGCATAGAGTCTTTCACTTTATTTTCTTTTAGCAAATGCTGGCAGATTCAATTACCCGGGTTTTGCATAAATTCTGTTGTCAGAACTTTCTCTCTCACCCGTTCTCAATCGATCTGGTATTCTGTTATTACTGAAGTTTGTTTCCTTCCAGTTTACAAATGTCCTAAATATTCCTTTGGTATTGCTGATCTCACTTGCTATCTCTGCTGTCATTTATTCTTCTCAGCTTCAGCCTAGAGGACCACATAGCTTTATACCCAATGCTGTATGATAGTAAGAACAGTCCCAGCCAGGCTCTGCCCCCAAAATATGGGCATAGGAGCTGTTTTTCTAGATTACAGTACTTCAGTGAAAACAAGAGCCTTTAAAAACATGCGTATGTACTCCTAATTTCTTTCAAAAGTAAATTCTTTCACATGAAGACAAAAAATATAAAAGCTGGAAGCACTCGATACTATTATTTTACCACAGCTGTCAAAGGCAGATCGCCTAAGTCCACTGAAGTTCTGGGACATTCAAACTGACAGTGATCTTGGAGCTCTACACCCTGTCAGCTGTCCTGGCTGTGTCCCCTCCCAGCTTCTTGCCTGCCACCAGCCAGCTCACTGGGGTGGCCAAGTGAGGAACAGAGAAGGCCTTGACGCTGTAATAGCGCTGTTCAGCAACAGTTAAAGCATTGCTGTGTTACCAATGCTACTTTGGTCATGAATCTAAAACACGGCACCATACAGGGTGCTATAAAGAAAACTGACTCCATCCCAGCCAAACCCAGTACAGGTCTTTAAAGAAGCATTAGATTCACCTTAACTGAAATATATAACTCCCCCAAACTTAATCTGAGGGTTATAGGTTTTGTATGTGTTTATAAATACATATAAATAGATATAGGTTGAATTAATTTTTTACATTCATACATACTTTTAGAGAAAGAAACAATGCAAATTCAATAGAAAAGTCTTGGGACAACTCATCTTTAAATAAATATGAGAGGTAAGCCACTTATTTTACAACCTTTAACAGTAATCGCTCATTTGCATAACTATTTTATAAGTGTAAATATTTGCTGTCTAAGTTCACCTCAGTAAATGCCATTAGAACTCGAAGTACATCTAAACTGGGTGCAGCCAAAAGTCAGAACAGCTTCCTTTCATAGCCTGCCAGATTAGACGTTTTAAGAAATAAAGAGAATAAACACTCGTCATGAGTTGTTGGTCCTGCTGCTAAGAGCAAGGTTTTTACTTGGAATGATGACC